GACCCTCCCTCCCTTCCTCTCTCCCTTCATACTTCCCTTCCTACCTCTCGCTCCCTCCCTTCACACTTCCCTTCCTCCCTCCCTTCCTACCTTCCTCCCTCCCTTCACACTTCCCTTCCTCCCTCCCTTCCTACCTTCCTCCCTCCCTTCATACTTCCCTTCCTCCGTCCCTTCATACTTCCCTTCCTACCTTCCTCCCTCCCTTCACACTTCCCTTCCTCCCTCCCTTCATACTTCCCTTCCTCCCTCCCTTCACACTTCCCTTCCTACCTTCCTCCCTCCCTTCACACTTCCCTTCCTACCTTCCTTCCTACCTTCACACTTCCCTCCCTCCCTTACTTCCCTTCCTACCTTCCTAGAGTCAAACAGACCATAAAGCAGGCGGCGCTTTAGGGCGGGGCTACACACTGATTGACGTAAACAGCGTCCTTACGTCCTCCCCAGTCCCATATGGGCACTTCCTGTTCAATGGCCCTAAATGAAAAAGATGGCAATGACCGGGTAGGATCTCCTATGAACCGCTCACGTTACGCTCATAACCCTGACTGACGCTCTCTCTCTTTCTGCGGGTGACGGAGGGTCGGACTGACAGCCGGAGCTGCCTGTCTGACGCGTTGAGATTGAGTCTTGGTTATAGCTTTATACTACATGAATAACGCACCAGCAAACACTCTTTACGGGGTGAAAACACAACAAGCTTGGGACGCATAAACTATCTGTAACTGCATTCTGGGAAAGGTTCCCAGCACGAACTCCTGCTGCTGCATGGAAACACAGGAAAGAGAACATAGGAGGACAGGAAGACCGAGGAGGCTCCAACGACACAACTTGAGTCCCACAGAGGAGCCCAGTCCGTTTGGAGGCTTTTTGCTTTTGGAAAATCCGACCTAAGTCTGTCGAGCCACGGCGAGCTAGCACGCTAACAAGCTAACACGCCGGCCAGTCGCGTCTAACGGCGAACAGCTGTTCGGGTAGCCGCCTTTTTGGGGTCAATGAATTAATGTGTTTACATGAAAAAGGCAATGCTGTGATATACGCCGATGCGTCAGAATCTTTCTCAATACCATGATATGGATTTTATAGCCTCCATATTTCAGGTGACATTGATGATGAATTCAGCGAATTCATTGAGCAACTGAACCACAACGAAGAATAAAAGCCAAATAAAAACTGAGCTCTGATCCCATGTGAAATATTCAGAAGAGAAGTTTCACACCTGAGCAGCTCTGTGTTGTTTAAATATTCATGTGAGGACATTTCCCCTTCTACCCACACTCGTGAAGACCTAGTCCTCTCATAGACATAGTCCTCGTGAAGACCTAGTCCTCTCAGAGACATAGTCCTCCAGGAGACTGTACTCCAGCTTGCCCTACAGGTTTTTTTTTAGTAGAGACACGAGACACACAAGGGACATCTACACAGGAAGTGTGTGTGGCTCTCCTCCCTCTGGATGGAGGCCTCCCCGAAGCCTGCATGAATAAAACATGCCCCCCCCATTATGTAAAGTCACAAACCCCCTCTGGAACAACAGGGCTTTGATTGAGAGTCATCTCCTCCACCTCATTGTCTCCTCATCCTCTCATAATTCCCCTCATCTCATTGTCGTCCCCCTCATCATCTCATCCTCATATCTTCCTCATCATCTGCTTGTTCTCATCCTCTTCATCTCCTCATGGCCGTGCCTTCATCTGCTTACACTCATCATCTCCTCATCTCCTCATATCTTCCTCCTCCTCCTCATCTCCTCTTTGTCATCATCTCATCATGTCTTCATCCCCAGCGGCGGGAGGCGGGAGATCACCGGGGCAGCGGGAGCGCGCCGCCGCTCCGTCACGCGGCACTGCATCGCGATGCTGTTGTTAAATCACACATGCGCGTCCACGCGGACAGACACACGTGCGTGCACGCGCACGCTCAGGTAGGCTGCTCGTGTCAACATCTCAAGGTCAAAAAAAAAAAAAAAAAAGGTTGTTTTCTGGACCCGGGACGCACCGGATGTGCGCGTGCGTGCGCGTGTTTTTAAAGCGGCGGAGACAAAGAGGCGCGGAGCCGCAGTGAGCTGCCCGCGCTGCGCTCACCCTCCCCCGGCCACACGCGGCCCCGCGCGCCCACTAACATCTGGAGGGGGGGTGAACGGTGAGATTCCGTTAGTAGCGAGCGGCTGCCGGTGAGGATGATGACGGTGGTGAGGAAGAGGGGGGGGGGGAGGAAGAGGGGGGGGCCTCACCTTCTGACAGCTCCAGCTCCAGCTCCGCCAGCCGGGCCCGCGTCTCCAGCGGGATCGGCGACGCCTCGCGGTCCGCCATTCGTAAAAAACACACCCACGCACAGCTCTCCCGGTTCAACGGCTGCCTCCTCTTCCTCCTCCTCCTCCTCCTCCTCTTCCTCCTCCTCCCGCCGAGGCGCGGAGGGACGACGAGGCGTCGAAGAAGAACAAAGAGGAGAAATCTGGCTCCGGCGGCCTCTTCTTCTCTTAACGGGGGTCCTTCATGGCGCCCGGCTCCTCGGCGGCTCGGTGGGCTGTGTGGTGCTGGGTGGTGCTGGGTGGTGTTGGGTGGGGGTGGTGGGCAGGCTCGCACAGACGCACACTATCAGCCGTTTGCAGCTTCTCTCCGCTGGGGTCACGTGACTCTACGGAGGCAGCGCGCGCCGCCGCTCATCACCGGCAGGGGGCGCGCGGCCACACCTACCGGACACGGTGACGCTGTAGTTTTGAGGTGTGTTTACCTTTTATAGCGTATATTTGAGTTTTGACTTTAGTAAATGGAGGAAAATAATAATAAATAATGAATTTAATTCAAAATACATCTGTTTAATAAAAAAAGAAAAATAACCCCTAAATTGTTCCAGTAGATTATAATGGATAATGGATAATAATAATAATAATTCTATCTTAATTGAACGATAGAATTCAGTGTTTCATATCAATTTGGATGGTCTCTCATTCAATGTTCATTTGGTATTATGTTTAAAATGTCACTCACAGGTCACTGATGTATGATGTCCACTACTAAACATCTCTCCACCCGCTGCCCTTCGATGTGCTCATTGTTTCTCATGTGACCTTCAACCCTTTAATGAGGTCCAGTGTGATGGAACCGACTAACAGGGTATTCATTCGTGATGCTCTCACATTCATCAGACCTCCTCTGATCAAACTCCCGCGTTGTACAAGCGGCAGAAGGATCATTAGTTGTGATGTGACTCGTCTGCCATCTGCTGGTTGTGAGACTGAACCGGTTCACACATTGTGTCACGTTGGATATACACATGAATAAATGGGAACAAATAACTGGGATACAATCATGGACTTCATGAATAAACACAAACTAAGAATTCTAACTTCAAAAGGCATTTTAATATCTGTTCAATAATATGTACACCCGTACAGACAAAGTAACACATGCCACAACTACGACACCGCTCACGTTTAAAAAGGTGTCTCTAAAGGGAGAGAATGTCGCCTGGAGCCAGACAAATAAAAACGGGACATTCAATCGAATCTAAAATGAAATAAAAAAGAGAAAGAGCTGGAATTCAGTGCTTTTCAGTGTGATCGAATGAATCCTCCCAGTACTCACCAGTGTCTACGGGAACGAACTGGGAGACGGGTTGGAACAGAACGACTCAGAGAACGACGCACATGTGTGGAACACAAACAAAGTCAAGGAACATCCTGTACAGAGAGAACACTACAACCAGTGGAACGAACGTCGATCTGCAGATCAACTGGGCCAGACACCCTGAGGGGTCGGAGAGTCCGGGTCCCACGGCGCCCTCCTCTGCAGGTCCGGGTCCAAGAGGCTTCATGGAGAAGCCTCAGACGGGTCCAATGACAGCACATCACATGCACACATTCCCTGTCCGTATGACACCCAGGACACTGAAAAAGTGGCTTTTCTCCACTGGATGCGATCACCGTGGCAACAGAAGCGGTTCCGCGGGCTGGCCCGGAAAGGTGGGGGTGCGCTCCGCCTCTGGAGAGGCGGGGTCAGTGGGCGGCGGCAGCTCATTGGAAAACGCTCTCTGGCAGATCTCGGCGTAGCTCGGCCTCTTGGACTCCTGACCAATGAGAGCACATCTGGGGTCAGGTTCTATCACAGCTGTCCACTCCACATCAAACTGATCTCAGATCTGACTCTTTACCACCTCAACACCCCCAGCAGGCACACGCAAGTTGCTTTGATGCTCATAAAGAATAACAGACAGATCACATGACACCAGAACGCAGCTTTTTAGGCGTTAAGCAACTGAAAAGTGTCATCTGGTTATCAGGAGACGTTCAGGGGCCCATAAGCAATCTTACCAAGAGCTGGTCCTGGGTCAGCGGAGGGTCTCGGGCCTCCGTGGTCGCCGCTGCTCGCTCCTTCTCCTTCCTGCAGAGAGGAGCAGAGCCCGTCACTCAGCATGTGAGATGATCTGATCGTGTCGTGTGGAGAATTATTGATTATTCCCCACTTACTGGTCTGAGGTCTGCTCAGGCTCTGGTGACGCCGTTGGCTCTGGTACAATCGTGCTGCTGCTGCTCCTCACTGGAGTCTGAGAGGAGCAGCAGAGAAGACGTGTCTGAGGGTTAAGTACGGCCACTGTGTGTGTGTGTGTGTGTGTGAGACAGAGACACACTTGGTCACCTTGGCGTTGCCGTTGGCTGCAGCTGCCGTCGTCATGGCGGTATTTGCCGGAGGCAGAGGAGGGAAGCTGGTGAGGCCGAGCTCAGGGGGGGGGGGCGGCAGGCAGGGAGGCAACTTGCACAAATACACACACAATCAAGACACAACAGAATGAACTCTACAAACTCCCATGATGCTCGCTGGCTACTCACCTGAGTGGGTTCAGCTGATCGGTCCCAGGTCCTGGCGGCGTCTCTCCTCCTCTGGCTGAAGTTGGCTCTCCTTCAGAGACACACAGCTGGTTTAGAGCATCACTCAACAGGGGGGGGGGGCAAACGCTGACTAAGTTCAGCTTTAATCACTGGCTGTCACTTTCTTCATCATTTCATCCCCGTTTATTGACTCCATTATTTCACGTGACCTTTGATGATGCTACAGCTTCAGAGGAGGTCGATGCCGCACTGCAACGTGTTGTACGGTCTACAATCATTACAGAACACGACCAGAGAACCCAGGAGAACTTTCTGAGCTCCTGTGTCTGGTGATTAAAGTGAAGCTGGTGGCTTCAGAGTTAGCTACAGCTTTGGATCAGGCTCACTTAGAGGCGACGACCCCTTAAGGCGGACCAGCAAGTTGTCCTCCATGGTCCTGTATGTGTGGAGAGCGGCTCCCCACCAAACCTCTGCCGCGGTGGTCTGTTACCTTCCTCGATCAGCAGAGGGCGCTCTCCCCCCTCTGCTCTGCCAACGCCAGTTGCCGCGTGACCTCCCTCTGCCCGGCGCCGGTGGAGTGCCGGGGGCCACCTGCTCTGACCCCGGGGGGGTTTCGTTGGGACGGGACTGCCAGCGGTCTCTGGAGTTGGACCACCTGGAGCCTCTCCTGGAAGAAAGGGACCATCGCACCAGGATCACATGCACAGCGCACGATGACATCACAGCCACCGGTCAGAACGGCGTGTACCTCGGCCTGTTCGCGTACGGCCTCAAGTTGGAGAATCCGTTCATGAAGTCGTTCATCAGTGTTTGGTTCTGTTGACACAAACAACAGCGGCTCAGCGGCGCTCAGCAGAAGAGACGAGCAGAGGAGTCGCTGGCTCTCACCTGCACGCAGTCCTGGTACCCCGGGGCAGGAGAGGCCCACGCCTCGCTGGCCAGATCATAGAGCGGATCGGGGGGCCCGGGCTGCTGGTAGGTCCCAGGGGGGAAGTAGGGGGCGTAATGACTGCTGCACTGGTCCAGATGGGGGGGTCTGAAGCCGTTTTTGGGAGCGAAGGACGTGACGGCCATGGTTTTGGCCTTAATCCTCGCCATGATGGGCTTTCCCTTAAACTCCCGGACGTCTTCTCTGAGGTACTTGTAGGCCTACAGACGGGAATTAATGTCTGACAGTGAACTATGTAACCCCCCCCCCCCATAACATCAGCACTTCAGCGATCAGATAATAAGATCACAACATGTTTGAATTGTTTAAAGCAGCTTTCATGATTTAACGCTGATCAAACATCAGTAACACAAATAGTTTTAGACTTGATCCAAACTTCTCCAAAGACATGAAAGTGTTTTAAAAAAGAAAAAAGATCAATCTAATCTTTTTTTAAATGTAGGATTTTTTGGGTCATCAGATCTTCATGTTAAACTTGTAGAACAATAACTGAAGCTGGAAGGAGACTTTTACCTGCTGCGCGTCGGTTTCGGACTTGAAGGTGATGAACCAGTTATCGTTGCTCACAAACTCACAGCTCAGGAACTTTGGCACGTTCTCCCCATCAAAGAGAGACTCCACCTCCTGCAGCACAACGGGATCAAACACACCGTCATCACAAGCGAGGAGGAGGAGGAGGAGGAGAGGAAGGGTGGCCTTGCCTCCTGAGGCGTGCTGTTGGAGATCTCCCTCAGGATGACCACGCAGCGGCTCTGAGCGGGCCGGACCTTCTGTCCACACGGAGCCATCTCAACCAGCGGCAGAGCTGTCGACCAATGAGAACAGACTCAGCACGGCCAGAAGACGTTTAGCAATCTCGCCTTTGAAATCGGCCACGATTGGAGTGGATGAAAAAAGAAAAGAAAAAAAAGAACACTGACATTGGAGGATGTTGGAGATAAGTTCCACGTCTGTGCTGAGGCTCTTGACCTTGTCGAGGCTGGCCAGGGTCGCTATGGAAACATACTGGTCGTTGTCCATCTGGGAGTGGAGGTAGAGGTCGTTACCGAGGTGCTCCCTGGGGGCAGAAGAGGAGGTGTCTATCGTGACTGCATGAATCAGAAGGGAGGTGCTGCACTGTATGACAAACCTACATATCTCATGTATTGTTAACATGTGTGAAAGAATCCAACTGAGTGACTAAGCGGGAGCCCAGGTGAGTTGTTACCTGGTCAGGCAGGACTCCAAAAAGCTCCTCAGCTCGTCGCTGCTCTCATCTGGTACCAAAGGAGGTTCCCATGTGATCAGTACTCATTGCTCAGTGTGATGTTCACGTTAAAGCATCATTACGCCGGGTCCGTACTTATCACAGGTGTCTCTCCGTTGACTAGAGCGGCTTCAGCAGACAGCGTCTGGTACTCCAGTGTACTCAGATCCGCCTCCACCTCAGCCTCCGTCAGGCCCGCGTTCTCCAGCTGCAACGGCAGCTCGTACCCTGAACAATCAGCAGAACATCCTGTGCCTGAGCTGCATGCATCCGGTCCAGAGACTGAATGGCCGCTAATACTCTGACATTGAGTGCGACGAGGCCCTGCGACTCAGGGACATGATATCAAATAAAACCGCTTACCTTCCTGACGGGTCAGAACTTCGGGGTACTGCAGCCATGGCTGCTCAGTCTGGAGGTGGGCGGGGCCTGTGACCTCCAAGCTAAAGGCGTGATTGGTCCATGCCTCAGCATTCGGGTTAAGGCTGGGGGCAGCAACGGGTCCCTGAGGTAAGAGCCATTATGTCAAATGTTAGGACAGAATTATTTTATAACAAACATACAAATATGAAAGAGTCGGATTGAATTCGATCCACAAAATCAAATGCTATTTAATCTCCCTCCATGTTTAAACCTGTTGAGTTCCATCCTCAGATGACAGATGAGTTCACTGTGCTTTGTTATGTTATAAGAGTTCACATCCTAACTGTGCTTTCTTTCCTTACATAACTGTGGGGGTCTGAGTGGACAGTGAGCCCTCCACTCTTTGACCTTTTCTTTCTCCTTGACCGATTCACCACTTTGGGGAATAAGACATTAACCTCAACTAATCGTCGTCCCACTTACAGCCGGAGTGTATTCCGTGTGCCAGTCCCACACACAGCGTCCCTGAGGCATCACCGTGCTGAACGGGTACGCTCCCAGCAGAGCCATCGACGGCTGCAGCTCTGAGACCAGCGCCGGGATCCGCTCCACGCCGCCCACCGCGCTCTCGTCTCTGCAGACGGGCTGGGCATCGGTGGCGCCCTGTGCCCAGGCCCCGCAGCCCTCCTCCAGACCCAGCTGGATCCAAGGGTGGGGGTAGAGGCGGCAGATGGAGTCTGCGTCTTCCCCCAGCAGCTCGGACACCATCTCCATCATCCCTCCCTCCCTCTCTCCCTCCTCGGCAGTCGCAGGCGGCTCGTGACCCCCGCAGTGGATCTCGTATGACGGAGTCGAGGCATAGAGGTCGATCTGCGCCTGGTCCACGGAGACCACGGGGAGGTCCTGCTGGCAGACCAGAGCCGAGGGCGGATCATCCGGGCAGCTGAAGTCAGCAAGAATGACGAAGGACTCATCACAGGCGAGGGTTTCCGTCTCGGCGCCACAAGCCGGGGTCTCGGGGGCTTCTGGAGGAATGTTGCTGCTCAGTGCAGACGTTGTCACGTGCAGGTGGACTTTAGGCTTCACGCTGTCAGAGGAAACACTGGAGGGGACTGATTTTGGGGGAGTGTGGCAGTCCCCTTGCCCTGACAACAGGAAACCGTTTTGGTGCTTTTTAGGTAAAACATCTGTAAAATCTGTCGCTACTTGTTTGCTTGTCTCGCCGATTTCTGGTTTGGTTTTTCCAACAGCCTGTTTGTCGCTAATGAGGACATCCTCGTCTGTGACCATGGCAACGTCAGATTCCACATCAGGACCATTGAGCTGTTTTCCGCTGTCGTCCAACCTGTGATCGCTGAGCTCACAGTCAGAGGATGGAGCTTCAACGTCTTGACCAGGAGGCTCGGTGCTGCTCAGTTCAGAGGCGGGGTCGTCTGATTGGTCGGATCTGATGCAGTTAGACGGGATGGAGTCACGGGGGTGAGATGTGTTCTGCAGGTCTGCATTTGTGTGGCAGGAAAAGGCAGTGAGTTCAACGGGAAGAGAAGACACGATTGAGATGGTGGACACCGAGGACACAGAGGTAAGAGTTGTCTCTGCTGTTCCGCTGTGTACGGCCTCCTCCTCTTCCTCACTGTGCACTCTGCCGTCGCACACAGGGATGGCGTTGCTCTTTAGCGGCGGTTTGCCCTCACTGAGTGGCGGTTGTGGGTGGAAGTCCGGCTCTGGAGGACTCGGGCTGGGCGTGTCTGGGTGAGCAGGTTCATCTGGCGCTGGTGAACTGGTGCCTCCCTGCTGGGTCAACAGGTGAGCCTCGCGAGGTAGATGATCGTCCAGAGGATTGAAGTCAGAATCTAACTCCTCCTGAGGAGCCCCCACTGTCTCCTGTGCTGCTCTGTGGCCCCCGACGTAAACACCCTCTAACCCTGAACACACACCGTCCCTCTGCTCGGATCCTCCCACCGTCTCACCCTGCACGAGCTCATCGTCCTCCTCCGTACCTGCACTTTGGTCTGTGTGTGACGTCATCGACATGTAATCCTTGGATTCATCCTCTGCAGCGGTCTGTCCGTTCAATGCTTCAAGCGGAGTGTCGTCTGCCGCGGACGCTTTGCGTTCCTCACGGGCTCGTCGACTGCTGGACGGGGTCAGGGGGTCACATGGGGAGTCCACCAGCTGAGACACAACAGGATGAGCTACCGTGGTCTCCTCTGGTGCGCTTGTCTGTGCAGACTGAACTGAAGCTGGTTCCTCATGGTGTGACTGGCTGGGTGTTTTGGATTCAGCGACGTGGTTCCGGACTGTGGATGCCTCAGCGTGTGATTGGCTGGAGACCGGAGACTCCACTATAGAGGGCAGAGCAGCTGTTCCTCCCTCAGCTGTGTGGAAGTGTGTCGTTCCAGCTGTTTGCGATTGGCCTTGGACGTGTTCTTGCTCAAGGTCGTCGACGTCGATGGAACATATGCTGTAGAAGCTCCGGGTCCTGATCTCAAAACCTTGACACAGTGCCGCGGTGTCGACAAAGACCTCCTGGCTTTCCTCCTGGTCCTGGTCAGCGTTGGGCTGCTGGCCGGACGCCTCGCTCTGCCTGATGTCAGCAGAGCGGGAGGGAAACATGGAGGTAGCTGACAAACATTTTGCCGGTTTGTGCTGCCCGTTTGGGAGCTGATTGAACCACTGAGCCCTGAGTGTGGCATTCTCCAGAATCTTCTGTTTGGCTGGAGTGCGCGTGGGCACCTCCATATACGGTGCTGGTTCACAGCTGGGCCTAGGAGCATGTGTCCCGCCTGGCTCCGTGTGCTGGTCTGTGTGTAGGTTTGTCCCCGTCCTGTTAATAATAGCGTCGCTCACCGCGGTGCCGTCCCTGCCGATCACGGACAAATCCGTCGCAACTTTGTGGTCCCGTTGTGGAGGCCCGACCTCTTCTTCCTGACGCTTCCTCTGAGCCGGTCCTTCTGCCACACGTGTGTCCTCTTCGTCCAAGCACACATGCTGAGCCACAGCCACAGCGTGCTGCCTTACCCGGTCTGTCCCCTCACTCCGCGGGGGCTCTAACAGACCGCTCCTCTCACTTGGCAGGCCGGGGTTGAGCTCCTTACTAAAGCAGCACCCCATCTTCTCCGGCCTAAAGTGGGAATAAAGCACAAGACTGCTATGGCCACGCACACTAGAAGCCTACACAACACCAGATACAATCATGAGCCGCTCCTCACGACCGTCCAGCCACATGCAGAAAGAGAAAAGACCCTCTGCTCCCCCCGGCTTTGCCTCTCTCCCCCCGGGTTTTCCCCTCCCCTGCCCAGAATAGCAAATGTGAAGGCACTCACATGTCCCTGCCATTCAACCAAGGGCTGCACACCACTTTGTGCGTGTGTGTGTGCGAGGGAATGTATGGGAGCCCTAGTTAGGCTACAGTTTGAGAGGGGTCAGCACATGGCCCAGAAGCCACCAATCACAGGGCAGTAACGCGGCAGTGTCCACTCCCCCCTCTCCCTCTCCCTCCGTGTCCACTCCTCTCTCTCCCCCCGTCCACCATTCATGAATCCTTCCCTCCCACTGACACCTTTCCCTTTGACTCACATCAGTTCTGCTTTAGCGTCCCTCCTTCCAAAAGGCCGGCGGGCCCCAACAATCAAACAGGTTATGGTGTAAGTGTCACAGTCAATTGTATTGTTTCCATCATTCGTGATTATTTAACAATTTAAATATTGTTGTTTCTTTCTTCTTTCTACATACATCTACTGTATGTGTGACTGCGGGTCTGCGGGTGTATACGGTAATTTTGGGTTTGGAAATAACGTGTACATTATGGTCAATATAATAAGCGGACAAGACTATATATTACATTTGTTTAAGTTTTACAATGAAGTTGAACCAACCAGACCGGATGGCTGAGGGAGTGTCTTGAGATGGGGGGGGTCATAGTTCAGTACCTGGTAGATGTAGTAACCAGGACGCGGCGCTCCAAGCGTTAACGGCACCGGTAGATCAGCTGGACACAAAGAGCTCTGGTGTGACGTCATGTGACTCAACGGCCGAGTTTTGTCAATGGTCACCACGGAAACTGTGGGAGGGGGACAGGAACACTGTAACAACTATAACAATCACTGTCTTTGGAATTTGTAAGTGGTAAATTGAACTTCTGTGACGTAAACGGAGTCATTGATATAATACGTATTTGTGGCGAGCAGGTGACCCCCTCACAATGACAAACATGTATCTAACGTTACATTATATGCACAACTGTAAGACGCAGGAATCTAGAGACATTCATGTCATCACCTGATAAATCTGTAAATCAGCATCCTGACAGTTGGGTTTGTATCACGTGACCCTTCGACCGGCTGAACCGCATTCTCACGTTTCCTTTCAACAGGTTCAAACATCCGGGACACGGCGTGGAAAGTGGGACAGCTTCTGTCTGCTTCCAGGTCGCCAAATTATAACGTTGGAATAATGTAGGATTCTTTCAAACCCGCCTCGCATTACTATTCCTTCTCAAATGTTTAAAATATGTAGATTAACAACATGCAAACTCAATCGGCAGCTGAACATCCACCGAACAACCCAATATACATTTAACATTCATTTTTAACGTTTTATCATCATTTCACCAGATCACGTTAATATAAAAACGGACAGATAGAAGCCGGACAGAGATCATGTGAAAGGGCGTTAAGTTATCGAGGTAAACTGTTAGTAACGTTCCTAACCGACAACGAACTGAAAATAACGGCTAAACGTCATTAACGGACATCGTGATAATGATCTTCAGCGGTTAAGCTAGCTTAGTTAACCAACAGTCAAGTAAGTTTTCTGCCGTTGTAAAATCCTCAAATTCAAACTGTTATCATGGATTTAACATATTTTCCACGGTGAAACTTTTTTTTGCGGTTAAATATCAACGCAAAGCTACAAAAACTACAAAAACAAACATCTTGAGTTGCGGTTAGCTTACATTTAACACGTTGCGTGTGAGCCTCGATTGGTGTAGTTTGAAACAGTAAACACAATAAAATAAGTTAATAACACAAGTAAGAGTTTTTAACGTCTTTTCTTCAGGAATTCAAACGGCATTTCAGGCGCAAACAGAACGCTAACGGACATCACGTCACCAGCTATGCTAACCGCTAGCCAGCTACCGTTACCTGCAGCTAGCCAACGTCCGCAATAGGACGTTAAAACGAGGCTAACGGTTAGCCGAAGCTAATGTTATGCTAACCTCCCTCAACGTCATGTGGTACAATAAAAGAGCGGGTCACTCACCTGTCGCCCGTTACCTGTCCGCCTCCTCGTCCTTCACCTGTTGCTTCCTGGCGGTGTGTTTCGCGCAGCTTCTCCTCTCGCAGTCGCGCACTAAACTAAAACAACGCGCGCGACGTCCCTGACGCGCACGTTAGCAGTTGGACGCCGTGCGTTTCAATGAGACCCGGATGTTGTAACGTTAAGTAAGTTCGTAATAACGGTTCCACCTGCTGGGATGAGACCGCGGACAGAACGACAAGAATAAATCAATTTGCACTTTTTAATTTCATCGAATAAACTACTCCACCACGAGGGAGGGATCCGGAAGAAACTGTCTAAAAGTCCATATTCCTAAAATAGTTATAGAAATACTCAACGTGTCATAAATGTGCTTTAAGGTACAAAATATGTCATAAAAATGTAATACTTTTATGTTATTTCTATCTTTGACCATCATTCCTGATTTCTGATCCTGATAAAAATCAGATATTCTTTCATTTTCAGAATTGGAACCCTTTTAATATTTGTTTAAATATTTCTACTGTTAACATAAAATAGTCTAAATAGACTTATAACAATTGTAAAAGAGCAGTCATGTTTTTTTAATTGTCACGTCTTTGCAGGCTGCTAATTCGAAATTGTATAAAAACCAACAACCATGAATCCACTTTAAATAAACTAAAGCACACATAGAGTATGTGAACATCACCATATAAATATCTCACTAGTGTTTCTCTGCAGCTGACCAGTGAAATATCAGAGTATAAAATAACAATCCCTCGTACAGTTTATTAAACAAACAGACGCAGAGTTCCCGCTCCGTGCGTGAGCGTGGCTGATCGCAGTGGATGCTGCGAGGTGCGCGCGCGGGGAATCCCCCAGCATGCTCTCTGGCCGGCTCAGGTGTACAGGCTCCAGTAGATGGTGTTGAAGAGCAGGTAGGACAGAGGGAAGACCACGCGCGAGTACGAGTCCACCAGGTAGCTGTTGCTGACGAACAGGTCCACGTTCTGGCGCACCGAGCGCTGCCGGCGCAGGCGGGTCCCCTCCGGGGCCCCGGGCGGCACCTCGAGGGGGTCGGAGGTCAGGGCCGGCGCCGCCCGGGAGAACGGGGTCAGCTCCACGTCGTTGTCATGGAAACAGCCGTCGAACGCCATGGCCTGGCTGGCGTTGAAGGTGGACGGGATCTGAAAAGTTCCACAAAAGATTCCCACAGACATTTACCAAAGCGACTGTGATCAATGGATTTCATGGATCAATTGACTGATCGGAAAACCAACAACAGTTCATTTGTGAGGAGAAAAAAGAAGCAAATAATTACACTTGCCAGGTATATAAAAAGTATTATTTACTCCAGGGGGAAATAAAATAAAGATGAAAGTTCATCTAAATGTAAATCAAATAAATGTACTTTATTTACTTTTGCATGGTTACATTTGTCATGTTTATTATGTGTAGTGCTCTTTAAAAATAAATAAAGCGCGTGTGAGGCTGTAATGACCCCGTTTGTCCACTAGATGGAGGCACTAAGGTGAAGCTGCTGACCTTCCCCCTCTTCATCTTCCTCATCTCCTCCAGGGTGGTGCAGTAGTTCACCGCCGCGTACTCGATGACGGACAGGAAGACAAACAGGAAGCTGGTCCACAGGTAGATGTCCACCGCCTTCACGTAGGACACCTGGGAATATGAGGACCAATCAGAGGGGACTTCATGTATTTTTTTATTATTGTAAATGTGTTGCTGCTTCCACAAGAACATTATTTCAGGGCCTCAAACACACCACTTGAATTGTGTTAATGTAGTTGTTATTGCTGCTTATTCTTTATTAATTATGGCAGTTTAAAATGAATCAAAGTCCACATTTCTCTCAGTGAAAATTCAGTTGAAACATTGAAAATTATTAAAATATTAACAGTTTAAAAGGTAATATCTCTGCGCTGGATTCTAGACCCTGAAGGACTCAAGAAGGACACTCTCAGTCCCAGAGCCCCACGGGCCCTGAAGGCCACACAGAGACAGCTACCTGAGGCATGGAGGAGGAGACTCCGGTGATGATGGTGGACATGGTGAGCACTGTGGTGATACCTGCAGGCCAGAGAGACGGGTTATGATCCAGGTGAAGACCGGCGGTGGTCCTGAGGTTTCCCGTAGGAACATTCTGAGCTCATTTAACACAGGTTCTTATTTTCATTCTCCCTGCTACCTCCATTCCACCTCTGCAGCTCATCCAGAATGCAGCAGCTCCACTGGTCTTTAACCTTCCTAAGTTCTCCCTCACTCCTCCACTCCTCCGCTCTCTTTACTGGTACCGGTGGCTCATCCAGTTCTTAACACTGGTGCTCAGGTACCGTGCTGTGAATGGATGGGGTCCAGCTTACATCCAGGACCTGGTCCAACCCGACACCCCGACCTCTGACCTCTCCGCTCTGCATGTGATAAACTGCTTGTTCCTCCTCACTGAGAGCAAAACACTCCACTAGATCTCCACTCTTTGCTGTCCTGCCCCGGAGATTCAGAGGATTCCCAGATTCTCGTCCCACTTTGAATCCGTACACAATAACAACACTGTTATGCTTTAACTCAGGGTTTCCATATGTAACTGTGATGTTCATGTAAAGTAGTTATGATGATGTATTTACATGTCTGCCCTGTGTTTAAGGGACCTTTCATCCAGCAGGGGGAGGAGCTAGATTAGATTCAACACGTGGGCGTCGCCATGGTCACCTAGGGAGACGCGTGCGGGCACGGCCCTCCGGTCGATCCAGAAGGAGACCCAGGACAGGACCACCATCAGCATGGTGGGGAAGTAGGTCTGCAGCATGAAGAAGAAGATGTGCCTCTGCAGGATGAAGTTGATGAAGAGACGGTTGTACCACCCTGAGGGAGGGGGGGGGGGGGGGGCGCCGCATTAATAAACTCTTCTGGTTATATGTCTCCATTTTTACCAAGTTACTACCAAAAACAATAACCTCTCTCTCACACACACACGCACACACACACACACCGGTGCTGCTGTAGAAGGCGAGGCCACTGGAGGCCTGGAAGTGCTCGATGAAGAACTGGGACAAGACGATCTCGTCCGTCCTCAGAGAGTCGTTCCCGTTCTTCCAGTAGAGCATCAGGTCGTTCTCGTTGTACGCATCTGTGTGTGTGGGGGGGGCATCTTATATATACATTATTATACATATTAGATTCACTTATTAAAAATATAAGTGTAGTGTGTGTGTGTGTGTGTGTGTGTGTCCGTCTCACAGCTCTCCAGCTCCAGTGAGCAGTTCTGTGTGTCCAGAGGGAAGCTGCTGAAGTCCATCGAGCAGAGCGACGTCACCGTCACCCTGAAACAACACATAAATATATTTACATAAATACATTTGTGTATATTAGGGCTGTCAAAGTTGACACACAGTTCATCTGTGAGATTATTGTTGTGTTATTATTAACGCAACTTTCTTTCTGGTGTGCGTTGACCCCTGACCCCTGAAGCCGCCGCGTGCTGCACAGTTAGATGGGAGAGAGCATGTGTGTACATGTAAACATACATATACAAACATACATGTATATACATGCACACATAGAGAGCGTTTCAAGTCTTCTTCAGTGCAGCATGATGGTCATTAGAGTCAAACAGGCCATGAAGCAGGGGACGCTTTAGGGCGGGGCTACATGCTGATTGACAGGTCTCTACCAGATGACCTTCTCCCAGACGACTTTCTCCCAGAAGACATCTCTCCGATGACCTTCTCTCAGATGACCTTCTTTCAGGTGACCTTCTCTCCGATGACCTTCTGCCCTCAGATGACCTTCTCCTTTTAGATGACCTTCTCCTTTTAGATGACCTTCTGGTTCCGCGGTGACATGAGCCAGCTGACATGTGAGGTGTTGGCCGTTCATTTCTGAAGCAGACGACCCCCACAGGGCACCGGCGAGGCTCCTCCTACCTGACGCTGTACAGGATGTTCCCGTCGGGGTAGACCCTCAGCATGATGTTCTCCGTGGTGGTGTCGTGGATGAAGGAGCCCTTGGAGTGGACGAAGAAGACGTCGGGGACCCAGATCTTCTTCACCAGGCGCGAGTCGAAGGTCCTGCTGCGATTGGTGCGGGAGGGGAAGGCCAGCCGCTCGTCCCTCCAGTAGTGACGCAGGTACAGCGTCATGGTGAAGTCCTGAGGGAGGAGACCAGGAGGAGGGGTGCGCTTCATTCAAGGACCGGAGCAGAAATATTCCTCTAGTGTGAAGATAAGAAGTTATGTTTTCACTCCAGAAAGTCCTACGTTTATTTATTATCTTCAGCATTACCTCACATTCAAACTTGTATTTGTGTGAAATAATGCTCAACGATCAAATACAACAGGACTTTAACAAAGGATTAAATCTTACATTTAAAAAAAACATCCTGGTACAATTAATGAGATTTAGAAAGGTCATGATGAACAAAGATGGTGTAATACTAAATTATGTTGAATAAAGATGGTGTACTACTAAGTTATGTTGAACAAAGATGGTGTACTACTAAGTTATGTTGAATAAAGATGGTGTACTACTAAGTTATGTTGAACAAAGATGGTGTAATACTAAGTTATGTTGAATAAAGATGGTGTAATACTAAGTTATGTTGAATAAAGATGGTGTACTACTAAGTTATGTTGAATAAAGATGGTGTAATACTAAGTTATGTTGAATAAAGATGGTGTAATCCTCACCATGTTGACCTCTGAGATGCTGTCGATGCTCTCCACCTGCACGTCGATGCCCACGGGGATCGCAGCGCCTGAAACCAAGGATCAGAGTGAGTGATTTAAAACCCCTGAGTCGAGGCGGAGGAGACGGTGTGAAGGCGAGAGGCCTGAGGCCTTTCCGGGTGGAGCTCAGGCCCTCCACCAGGACCTCCGTCCTACTTCCAGCTCGCAGACGTCTCTCCTCCCGACACGGGATCGAACCCTGAAGGAGTGAAAGTCTCCTACCACACACACCTCGTCAATCACCCCGTGAGACCTCTTCAGCAGCTGACCGCTGCACACAAACAGGAAGCCGGGGGCCTCCGTCCGCGGCGCGCGCTCTCAGGGCGCGCTGGAAGGTTTAACAATGAGGGCAGCGCAGAAGAAGAATGAGCCATGGCGACTGTGAGCTGACGTGATAAATCCAACCTGTGAACTGTAAATGATCCTCAACTAATGACACGCAGCGGATGTCTGACCAACGCCTGACACCAACGTTTGCAGAAGTGCCTTTTTCTGTAAAGGAAGATCACCAAATCCATCGTGGAGGCGCCGGGGAGGCGGAGAGGAAGTGAAACGGGTGAAAAGGTTCTGGAGCAGCAGAAAGACACAGACGTTTTCAAGGAAGGACTGAATGAACAGCAACGGGTTTCCATTGTACCGTTAATCAGCGTGTAGCCCCGCCCTAAAGCACCCCCGCTTTATGCTCTATTAGACACCTGTCAATCACAGTAATATATATTTGGCTCTAAGCATAGACTATCTGATAATCCGAAAATTAATATACAAGTAAATGGTCAAAATGTACAGCAGGTAAAAAAGGTGAAGCTTCTTGGACTTTGGCTGGATCCCACATTGTCATGGTCAATTTCTAAATTCACAGTTGTTGATCTGGATTACTGTTGTGTTGTACGGTGTGCTGCAGCAAGCAGTCATTTAAAACAATTACAAGTGGCTCAAAAATAAGGCTGCAAGACTGGTTCTTGGTTGTTCTTTGCGAACTGCAGAGATGCATGACCGTCTTGCTTGGCTGCTGGTCAAGCACAGACTATCTGCTAATATGTTAGCATATTTTCATAAAATCATTAACACCCGCATTCCTAAATTTCTTTATGACAATATAATTTACTATTCAGATATGCATTCACATAACACAAGAGGGGCGAATAGTCAATAATCAGATGTCTTTACCCCTACCTGAATCTGACTCTATGAAGAGGGCCGTGTTTTATAGGTCAATTGTGCTTTGGAACAATCTTCCAGTTGGGGTTCGTGAAATCAAGGGAAAAACTGGTTTAAAAAAAGATTAAGACTGCATTTGTTTTTAGCATCATCGTCTGGGATGGTTGAGCGAGGTTGTATCATGTGTCCTGGTGTTTTGCATTATTTTTTATTACTTTAATCAGTACTTTCAGAATTGTTACTTTTTCTTGTCTTTTGTGTGTATTCATATATGTGAGTAATTGTGATTGTGATTACTGTTCTTTTATGTATTTTTTTTATTTTTTGGACCCCAGGAAGACTAGCTGTCGTCTCAGCGTCAGCTAATGGGGATCCTTTTAAATAAACAAATAAACAAATAAACAGTAAGCCCCGCCCCAATCCCCTGCCTTGAGGTCTGTTTGACTCTAAATGGACTATAATCTACTAGAAGAACATCATGCTGTATTGAATAAGACTTTAAACTACAGACTGAGGCCATAAACTCATGTTTCTAATGTTTACTGAGGGAATTAGAAGGGAAGTAGAGTCATTTTCTCATCAGCTTTCAGCTTTCAGCTTTAAGACTTGATGAAGGCGCCGAGGAAGCTGAATCTCACAGATGTTTGTACCAAGATGGCCGCCACGCGCGGACGTTCTGTACCCTGCCGTAAGACATCTAGCCTTTGTAAATATATACCGTGTATCTATGGTCGATGTGGGTTATGCCACAAGCTGATTGGGGGCGGAGGCACTTTCTGTAAACCAATCGCGGCTGTCAACGTTAAAAGCTGTTCTCATCTCTGTGGCTTCAGGAGGCACCAGACGCAACCCTCCGCCCCCCCGGACCCCTGCAATCAGCAGGGGAATCTGGCAACTTACCGTATACTCTACCACCCCCACTCCCAAAGGATGATCTGCTCCATCCCACGGCTGGATGGCGTCCAAGCCCCAACAACAGCTTGTGTTAATAAATCGTTGTCTCCTGACTGAAATAAAGGTTTCCAGATGTTCCATCATATAAAGCTGGTCCTGTTGCACACGCCGCTCCGTGAACTGGGCTCGACATGAGGGACGGAAAGCAGCGGGGAGCAGAGTGACCTTCTGTTTCACGATCTCTCCCACTGAAGAACGCTGGTTGCCGAGGTAACGCCAAACGTTGAGTCCTCACCGCCGTGTGCTTTTTTTATATGTGTGTGTCATGGCAGGACAAAGCTGGAGCTTTATGGTCAGATGAACTTCATTAAATAAAGTGGTTATTGAGCCGCCAACATTCAAGTGGAATCAACACACCACCCCCCCCCCACCCCCCGTGGGCTTGAGGGGGGAAACAGGAATTTTAGCCGGAAAACCGCGCCCGAAGGGGGCACAGAACCAACCCGGGGGTGGTTGCGGATCCTCCACACGCACACACACCGGTTCACTGATTCGCAGGGTTTTTTTCTCTCGCTCCGCTGTCGACTTTGATTTAGTAAAACGACACATCGAAGCAGCGAGATCGCACAACACGACTGTGCAACCCGATACCAGCAGGACCAATAACAGCAGCAGGGGCGACTTCCCATAGACGTCTATGAGGAAATGACTTCATCGGTCTCACGTCTTCTTCGGTACAGCATGATGTTCATCTAGTAGATTACGGTCCATTTAGAGTCAAACAGGGGCTCAACGTGATTGACAGGTCTCTCATAGACCATAAAGCGGGGATGCTTTAGGGCGGGGCTACACGTGATTGACAGGTCTCTATCACAGATTTGTCCGTTTGTGTTTTCATCCTTAATCATGTTACAAAGTGGCTTCACTTCATTAAAGTGAACTGTTACATTTTGGTTCGACTGGCTGCAAAAACCCAAACGGCAACAACCAGATCTTCAGCTTGAGTTTACACAGAACTTATTTAAGACACATTAACAAAAAGAGGAAATGCCACAAAGTGGTTTAACATACTTTAAAACCAAAGACATAACAGAGACCCACCAACCCCCCCCCCCCCTACACCTACAGCTGCAGACACGCAGCAGATCCAAGACACACGCAGACCCACAAACACACGTTCTGCTCCGAACGGGGACCGCAGAGAACGTCCAGTTCCACCAGTGTGGTGAAGAAGCGAGAGGCTTCGTCCTCGGTGGTTAAATCGCACCGCGGCTTTTAGGGGGGCGGGGGGGGGCTTTACAAACACTTTAACCTCACAAAAAACTACTTAAAAAAGACATAATGCTGTTAAAGATACAACCAAACAACCCGAAAAAGACACGATGCCTAAAAAAAGACACAAAAGGGACAAAACAAATAATGACTGCGGGAGGACAAAGAAGGAATACGGATCTTAGGACGTGAGTTTGAGAAGGAAAGTGGAGGAGAAGCTCCCGTGGAGCCGGGTTCTGACTACAAGGTGGTCACATCGGTTCCTGCAGAGAGCTACGTTATGTGAAACCTAAATCTGTCACAGCTGCTAAGAAACATCCAACAGGGACAAAGACGCACAAAACGAGTACAACAAAGGGCAGACGAACAACTGCAACGCACTCTGAGATCAAAGAGACGGAAAAGGAGACACACACAAAGGACCACAAAGACACACAAATCCACCAAGATACGATCAAAGTGACGCAAAGCCGCTGCAAAGAGACACAAAAGACACAAGGTAGCTGAGTGTTTCCACAAAGACACAAGAACTGACATTTAAGTCACACAGACCCACAATAACGTGGTGAAGAAACTACAAACAGTAAAAGAAAGACCACAAACAAGGAGGACTCGGCTTTGCTGTGCCAACACGACGCAGATGACGGGTGAGCGTCCTCCTACACCATCCGTACGATCTATTCAGCCACGAGGGACGCACAACACACACACACACACAGACACACACACAGTCAGTGCCTACAACTGACTTCAACCACGAGCCCCCCAAAAAACGCCCCACGAGTGACCTCCGCCGGGCAGACGCGCTGAATGAGATCTATTGCAGATTTGATTGACGTGTCCTGACGTGTCCTTGGTCCCACAGGACCCCTCTCCCCCCTGGACAACGTCCGTTTGTGTCCCTTCCATCTGGCAGGTCCATCAGGACCAAGACCTCCCGCCACACTCAACACACACCAGCCGGGCTCATCGACGGAGCGGCCCCCCGCTGGGTGACTGACATCCCACCGGTCACTTCACACTCCTCATGCACACACCTGTCACCTGCCACCTCACATGTCTCCTGTCACCTGCCACCTCACATGTCTCCCTGTCACCTGCCACCCTCACATGTCTCCTGTCACCTGCCACCTCACATGTCTCCTGTCACCTCACATGTCTCCTGTCACCTGCCACCTCACATGTCTCCTGTCACCTGCCACCTCACATGTCTCCTGTCACCTGCCACCTCACATGTCTCCTGTCACCTGCCACATGCCACGTGTCACCTGTCATGGCTGCCTGTGCGCTAGTAGCCTTTATTTTTTTCCTTTTCATTTTTAACTTTAACTTTTTTTCCTTTTTAATTTAAATTCTTTATCTTTAAGATGTTTATTCTCCATCCCCTCAGCCTCATACTTTACTTATGCTATATGTTGTCTTATTGTCAAATGTTATGCAGCAACTGTCTGACTTGTTTTGGCAATAAATGTCCCTGATTCCAGGTATGAGGACAAACATTCGTTGGCCAATCAGAGCGCAGCTTTGTTCCTTGAGGAGACGTTCTGTGAAGAACACTACAAACAACAACAGGCTGTAGAAATACTCATCTGGTACCAGGAAGTGTGGAGCACACACACACACACACACACACACACACACACACACACACACTACAGGCCACAACAAGTCATAGACGGTGTGAATGCCGCAGGGCGAAGGGGCGGCCAGTAGAAGTACTGCCTCCATGTGTACTTCTGAAGGTACATGTACTTTCTGCCGGTTTATACTTGGACTTGGATTGATTCCTCAGCTTTCCAAAGCAAGATCATCTTCAAGAGGATCTTTTCAAAGCACAGGTCTCTCATGGAAAGAGTCCAAAGACGTTGGAGTCCTTGCAGGTATTTCCAGGATGTCCAGGATGTCCAGGTCCGAGTCTAGCTGAGAACGGGACGGTGTCTGGAGGCGTTTGAAGACGCTGTGTCTCTGGATCAAAGAGAGGATGAGAGACGACAGCATTGTCCTGTCATGAAGGTCCTGGTCCCGTTTGCTGCAGGATTCACCCGTTCACCCTGGAACTCAATGGGAGGAAGCTCACAAAGGACACATTCAAGTAGCCCTTACTCCACCGCTTCACATGAAACACTACGGAGAGCCAGAGATGGAGCACGCGTGTGCGTGTGCGTGTGCGTGTGCGTGGATCTGATCCAGAGTGTGAACACGGAATGGACCATTTGTCCTCCTGTTGTCGTGTGTTTGATACCGATGAGTTTCATCGCACACGTCGGTTCGTCTCCCACCCCCATCTGCCCCAGACCTGGAGACTAATCCAGATTAATGCACGCAACCCCCCCCACACACACACACACGCACACGCACACGCACACACACAGAGGCACTCATTATATTACCAAAAACACACACAGGGACACACAATCACATTTGAGTGAGCACACAGAGTCCCACTGTATCTCAAATGCGTTAATACACACACACACAACCTCACAGACACACACACACACAACCTCACACACACAACCTCACAGACACACACACACACAACCTCACACACACACAGGCGTAATCTGGGTCAGCGTGGTGGTTTTTGGGAGCAACACATCCGTTGTCTAGGTGACCCATTGCCCGTCATCAGTGAGTGTGTGAGTGTGTGTGTGTGTGTGTGTGTGTTGCTCTCTTTGCGAGGACACTTTGAACTTGTTTAAAACTGAATTGTGAAGTAAATGCAAAGATACATTGTAAATCGATGCACATTCCGGTCAGTGTGGAATGAAATGAATAATATTTTCAAAGTAAAACTCTGTAGATGTGTGAAGTTATTTAAAGGTGAGTTTGACCGCGAATTTATGGGATCAGATTAATTTATAAAGATTGCTTCAGATCAAAATGAGAAAGGGGAACCTAAATATAAATAATATAAATGTAAATAGGGGGAGAAAAATGAGAGTAAATAAGATAATATATATAAGAAATATTGTTAAAGATTTCTAAATAAATATTGGAGATAAATCAATGAAATTAGAAACACGCACGATCAAAGCGACACGAACCGCTGCGTAAAAACAAACATAACGTGCTCAGTGTTGTCATGGTAACCAGGTGTGTGTGTGTGTGTGTGTGTGTGTGTGTGTCTGACCTCCGAACCCCGGCCTCATGGCGAAGTCGTGCTCCTCGATCCTCAGCAGCTGCTCGCTCTTTATCAGCAGCGTCTTAGTGCTGTCCTGCCGCTTCAGTT